CATATACTGTTTATTGACAGTGAGCTACATACATTTTATGTTGTGCACATTACTATCTAAATGCTTTTTATTGTAAGACACCTCAAAACTCTTATAGAGCAAGGCAAGGTGTAAACACATGAATATGAAAATAGATAAAAAGTAAAATAAAATAAAGTAAAAATATTAAGGAAAGTAAAATAAAAAGACTCATTTGATTGTACTTTGGGATATGTCTATTCTGAAAATAGTAATTCAGTTTCCATATTATTTCCATAATAGAAAACCATATTATCTTTTCTCTTTTAAGATTTTTTTGAAGACATATAAAATAGCGTTACTACTTATACTGGGTTGAATAGTGTTCCACCAAAATTCATATCTATTTAGAACCTCAGAGTATGGTCTTATTGGAAACAGGGTCATTGTAGATGTGATTAGTTAAAATGACATCTTACTGGGTGGGACCTAAATCCAGTGACTGGTGTCCTTAAAAGAAAGCCATGTGAAGACACAGGCAGATATTGGTGTGGTGCAGCTACAAGCCAAGGATTGCTGGCAACCATCAGAAACTAGGAGAGAGGCAAGGAAAAGATTCTTCGTCAGAGCTTCCAGAAGAAGCCTACTTTGTTTACACCTTGATTTTGGACTTTCGGTCTTTTGAATTGTGAGAGAGTAAATTTCTGTTGTTCTCAGCCATGTTTTCTGTAATTTGTTAATTTGTTATGGCACATAAATTGAGCATCTAGTGGGTTCTCTGCAAATAGCTGCCAATTAATACCCATACTAATCTGAACAGGAGGCACTTTCACAATAATTTTAAACAAAATACATTCTGGTAAAAAAACCTCCCTTTTTCTTTCTTTCTTTCTTTCTTCCTTTCTTTCTTTTTTGTAGAAAACACACTGTGGTTTGATATAAAATGCTTTTCTATAGCTGCATTTTGAAAATTATTACATATGTGAATTATAGCCAAAGAAAATCTCATAAATGAAAATAAGCAAAATTTCATGCTTCAAAAGGATACTATTCACAGATAATATAAAGATTTTATTATTTATTTTCTGTCAACAACTATAGCTAGATTGGTGCACCCATTACATTGTGTTTCATTAACTTGGCTACTCTTGGAAAGATACTGGTAAAAGAGATAAACTATATTTGCAAAACTTGTGAGAAAAAAACAATGCGTTGTATTTATTTGGTTGATGAGCTTTCATGATACTGTAGGACATAGGGGAAAAAATGTAAAGTAAAATGAAAAATAAAACAGTAGTGAAAATTATTTTTTCACTATATTTTTCCAAATCATGAACATATTTTATTCAGAATGGATCTACATACTTTGTATATTCATAGATAAATATGTCATGAGTTTGGGGAAAAGTATTAATTGGGCAAATTAAAGAAAAAAGCCTGCAACGCGGTTCATAAAGGCATTCGCAAGCTGTCATTCTGATGTTTTATCACCCTCTACTGGTCAGTGAGCCAAATTACATTTAGTCTTTTTCCGCCCACTGCGAAGTGGATTTCTTTAATAAAAACTAAAAAAAAACCCCATTTGTTTATTTGCTAAATTTACAAAATTTGTTCATGGATCAAAAAAATCATACTAAAAATAAATATATAAAAAATCATTTGTTTATCCTCTCTCTATCATTAGTCTGTGAGCTCCTCACTGGAAGTCAGAGACTTTCATTACCTTCATGTCTCTAGTAGTCCGTATACTGCTTAGCACAGTACACTTACTCAGTAAATGTTGGATCAACAAAATGTTGAGGCAATTTGCATAATTATAGTATTCATTTATCATTATTTTATAAAGTTCTTTGTGTCAAAAGTATCATTACTATATGGAATTATATAAAATTAGTAAAACGGACATTTCTAACATACTGATTTCATATAAAATGCTAAAGTTATTTTAATTTCTATTTATTTTAAGAGCTTCAATCCTCTGTTTAAAGTCATTTTGATTGTAATTTAACCTGGGCATTTTTCTGGTTACCTGTTATTCTGATTAGTTGTACATTTTTTTTGTCCTGAAAAACCATTTTATTTTCTGTTACATAAACATCTTTCTCAAGTAATGTTACTATAACAACCTGTTTATGGGGTTTTATAGTTGAAGTTCTTTTTTCTTTTTTTTTTGAAAATTTTTTCATAACCTCTTTTGGTATCACCCAGGATGGCTTGGCAGAGAGAGGTACAATTCAACATCTGATAGCATTCTTTGATATTATTCATGTCGATTTCAGAATGGGAAACTATAATTCTGATCAAAGTCTTATGATGCATTCCAGCTTAGGATGAAGCTTCTCAGCAGAGAACATCGGCTTGTTTGTGGAATGCTTTGCAAACTCGAGGTCACCTTTCATGTCCAGTTCCAGAACTTTGTTCATATCATGCTGGTTGTACTTGGTGTACAACACTCTGCGAAGATGAAGGTAGCTTCTGGTGGTAAGGACTTTTTCCGCCCACTGCGAAGTGGATTTCTTTAATAAAAACTAAAAAAAAACCCCATTTGTTTATTTGCTAAATTTACAAAATTTGTTCATGGATCAAAAAAATCATACTAAAAATAAATATATAAAAAATCATTTGTTTATCCTCTCTCTATCATTAGTCTGTGAGCTCCTCACTGGAAGTCAGAGACTTTCATTACCTTCATGTCTCTAGTAGTCCGTATACTGCTTAGCACAGTACACTTACTCAGTAAATGTTGGATCAACAAAATGTTGAGGCAATTTGCATAATTATAGTATTCATTTATCATTATTTTATAAAGTTCTTTGTGTCAAAAGTATCATTACTATATGGAATTATATAAAATTAGTAAAACGGACATTTCTAACATACTGATTTCATATAAAATGCTAAAGTTATTTTAATTTCTATTTATTTTAAGAGCTTCAATCCTCTGTTTAAAGTCATTTTGATTGTAATTTAACCTGGGCATTTTTCTGGTTACCTGTTATTCTGATTAGTTGTACATTTTTTTTGTCCTGAAAAACCATTTTATTTTCTGTTACGTAAACATCTTTCTCAAGTAATGTTACTAGAACAACCTGTTTACGGGGTTTTATAGTTGAAGTAAATGTATATTTTTAAAAACTTATCTCTATTATAGAGAGTTATGATATAAAAATGATTCATAGGCTATAGTTTTCACAAATTCTGCTGAAGAAACTTTCCTATTTAAGTCTATAGTATAGAATGAAAAGATATGACTTAAAAAATCTTCTGATCGAAAAGCTTGAGATCATCAAAGGAATGTTTCTTGGTTTTCCACAGAGAGCCACTAGGATTTTTTTTCTTTTTTCTTTTTTTTTTTGAAATTTTTTTCATAACCTCTTTTGGTTTCACCCAGGATGGCTTGGCAGAGAGAGGTACTATTCAACTTCTGATAGCATTCCTTGATATTATTCATGTCGATTTCAGAACGGGAAACTATAATTCTGATCAAGGTCTTATGATGCGTTCCAGCTTAGGATGAAGCTTCTCAGCAGAGAACATCGGCTTGTTTGTGGAATGCTTTGCAAACTCGAGGTCACCTTTCATGTCCAGTTCCAGAACTTTGTTCATATCATGCTGGTTGTACTTGGTGTACAACACTCTGTGAAGATGAAGATAGCTTCTGGTGGTAAGGATGGTATTGAAAACATTCACATC